CTCTTTTAAAAGATAAATCTCTCTCTCCTTTCCCATTCCCAGTGTTGAAGACAAATGCCCTCCTACACCTTTCCTTGTGCACCTGCCTCAGTCTCCTCTCCACGAGTGAAGGTGGGATTAAACACCAAGAATCCCGGCTCTGCCTTCAGTGTCCACTCTCTTCACCTTTTAAACTCTCCACAGATAATCCAACTCATGCTCAATGGCTTCAACTCCCATCCACTTACATAACTCCCAAAAATATATCTCTAGTGTCTGATATACAGTTGGTGCTCAATAAATTCTCTCTGAATCAATAAATAGTTTTAATATACATTGGAAAGTAACCGTGAATCATCTGCTCAAATGAAACTCAAAGCTATCCCTTTTAAGTTCTCTTTTAAAGAAGTCCATATGAGCCCTGGTTGTGTGGCTCAGTTGGTTGAAGTATGGTCCCATGCACTGAAAGGTTGTGGGTCTGATTCCCTGTCAGGACACATACCTAGGATTCGGGTTTGATCCTGGTTGGGAAGTGTACAGAAGGCAACTGATCAATGTTTCTCTCTCTCTCTCTCTCTCTCTCTCTCTCTCTCTCTCTCTCGTTTCCCCTCTCTCTAAAAGCAATAAACATATCTTCCTGTGAGGATTTTTAAAAATAACAATAAAATAAAGAAGTCCATATGATAAATTCTTACTAAAATTAAAGTTTGTCTTTGCCAATAAACTTCCTTTTTATCTGACATTTTATCAGTATTATTCCTATTATATAACAACAAAGATTATGTGAGGCAGTTTTGTTGTTGTTTGTTTTTGCCTCATATGACCACCTGTCTGCTTATTTTAGTCATTTTTTTGTTTCCTTCCTTCTTTAACATTCCTGTTTTATTATGTAAATTTAATGTCAATTTAAATTCTTGAAACAAGTTTAACTTTATTTTTTACTTTACTAATAATGACTTACTGCTCTTATATTTAAATAAAAAATGTCCTCTATAAAGACCAAAGGGAAAAAATGTTCATTTATACATCCCTAGATACTATAGTAGATATTATTTGTTATGTTTAACTGTTTGGCATCCTTTTCCCCCTTTTCTGGGAAAAGTATCCTGAATTTCCTTTGGAATACAACCCTTCTCCATTGCTTCAGATAGTGACCCCCTCCAGTTTAAGTATAGAGCCTGTGACTCTGGCTTGACCAGTTAGTATAATTCGGCAAAGATTACCTAAGATGGTCCAATCAGAAGGAATCACAGGCCTTATAATGGTACTTCTGTTCCCAAGCATCATATTCCTGATGGGATATATTGCTATGGGATTCTCTCTCTCCTATTGGGCCTGATCATACAAGGATATGGACCTGAAGCTGCAAGCAGCCATCTTTCACTATGTGGAGCCTGATATAAAGACAACACAGCTGAGAAGAGAATGAGAGATAAAGAAAGTCAGAGTCCAGATGATATCAAATGAGCAACTGGGTTAAACTAGGCCTGAAGCCAAGTATATCTGGACTTTATAGAAATGTGAGTCAATGAATTCCATTTTTTGCTTACGCTAGTTGAAAGTGGATTTTCTATTAGTTGCTACTGCCAAATCTACTAGTATTTTTATTTATTTTATGTGTGTGCATGGAGCTCTTACATGTACTGTGTGTTGCAGCACACTGAGGAGAATAGTTATCAGGAAGTAAGTGGAAGGAGAAACGAAATTCTTACTGGCAGACAATTCTCAGTTTCGGAAGGCTGCTGGTGACAGGTATGCCTCATTGCCAGTAAAACTCAGTGCTTTCTGGGTAAGTGCTCATAAAAAGGGTAAAAACAGTGGTTGCAAGAGGAGGCTATGTTTCTAGTTATTTTTACAGCAATACAAAAGTCACAAAATGGGAGAAAGCTAGATCCGAGGAGCAGGTCGATACAGATACTTTCACAGCAGGTATCTGTTTGCTCATGATGAAGTACAGCCAGATGACCCTGGCCTCTCTTTTCTTGCATCTGCTTCTGTTCTCAGGCTAACTTGTCTAGAGGTGGATGATCAATAAACCAGTATTGACCAGCTAGTTCACAACTACAAGAGGCACCAAAGGTCAATACCAAACAAAAAGGAAGAACATGAGATCATTGGCTTGGATTTTCAAAGTCTATTTCCCTTTTCTGCTTTCTCAGCCCTTCTCTTCTCTTTCTGCTCATTTGTTATTCCTGTTTTCCAGGCATGATTTTGTCCCTCAGAAGAATAATCAGTTGACAGGAGATTGTGTTCCATAGTTCTTGTACTTTTCCCAAGTATTATAGGAGGTTTTCTGTAAAGTCCTAAAACTGATTGAAATAGTGAGCATTCGCATCTAAACACTTTCTAAGTGATATTACAGATAACCACATGATTTTTAAAAGAACATCTTACATGCAGCCTTGGAAAATGTGGACTGGAAGGTAGGTGATGTGGCTATTTTTTCTCTTTTCTTCATGCTGTCATAGAATACATTCAGCAGCTCAGTTACAAAGATGACAACTTTAACTTTTTTTAATGATGGAGTAGAATGTTTCCGTGTGAAGTCTACAATAGCATTGATTATGTCGTCAGCAACTCTGATTGGGTTTTTCCCAGCATTTCCTGGAAAAAAAAAATTTAAGTGACAAAAATAGTTTCAGCTGGTGTTGGTCATGTGATCAGATTTGGCAAATGCAGTGCTTGATGCTGAGAAAGAGGAAAGCAACACCTGACAGCCAGAAACTGACCTGGCACTCATAGCTGGGTCTTGGTGTTCTCCAGCTGAACACAAATTTCATAGAGCATCATCAAATGTAACCACTCTGTAACCATGATGAATTAAGCCAAAATGAGACTGCTGCATAGTCATGTCTGACCACAGACAAAAATATGAACACTATCCAAACCACCATAAATGGCTCAACACCCCCATCTTGACCAATATGAACAATCGTTCTTCGTTACCAATCACAGCTTTAGCTACACTCTTCTCTTCTTCCAGATAATATACCTAATCATAGAATTATGTCTGCTTCCTGAAAGCATCCAACCCAAAGCAAAGCCCTACTTACTTGTGACTGCCATGAAGTTGCCTAGCACAAGCTCAAATCTATTAACAAGTCCTTTCCACAACCTCTTGCTGAGATGCTGCATAGATCCCCATAGTGTGTACTCCTAGTGGTTTTAGCTGAAGGGCATTGAAAGTGCAGATAAAAGAACATGCTATTTGGATGCAGAAGATCTGGATTTATGTCCTGGCTCTCCACTGATTTACTGTGTGATCTTAGATAAGTCATTTGATCCCACGTATTAGTTTACTAGGGCTTCCATAACAAAGTGTCATGGACTGGGGGCTTAAGCAACAGAAATTGATATTCTTAAAATTCTGGAAGCTGAAAGTCTAAGCTCAAGGTGTTGGAAAGATTTGTTTCTTCTGAGGCCTCTCTTCTAAGCTAGTGGATGGCCATCTTCTGACTGTCTCCACATAGTCTTCCTTCTGTAGTTATCAATGTCCTAATCTCCTCTTCTAACAAGGACACCAGTTACACTGGATTAGGGACCACTCTAATAACCTCATTTTAACTTAATTACCTCTTAAAAGGCTGTATCTCCAAATACAGTCACATTCTGAAGTAGGAATTAAGGCCTCAATAGATGAATTTTGGGGGACACAACACCTCTAAACTTCAGTTTACTCAGCTATAAAATTGGAGTGGTAACAGAAGATAGTAGATATTAGAGAGAAGACCATGTTAGCTAAGACGATAGTAATTAAGAACATAATGGTAAAAAAATAAAAGGTAATGTAAAAAAAAGTAATAGTTGAAATGTACAGGCTAAGCTGCCTAGGTTTGAACTTAGTTATGTTACCGTCTAGCTGTGTGACCTTGTGCTTTAATACTTTAAGTTCTTATCTATCAGTGGGGCTAGATCCAAGTTACGTTGAAATGTTAAAAATGTATTCCTATGTCATCTTTCTTAGCTGTTTTCCAAAAATGCTTGCAGCTACTCCAACACCCAGTGCCCAGGGAAAACACTGGATTAGGGACCAGTGTACCTAGAGGAAAGTGTTCCTAGAAACTGTGAGCAGGATGAGTCTGAGCTTGTTGGTTAAGGATAGAGACTGTATCTTAGTCGTGCTTTATACCGAGTGCCTTGCACAGGATCTGGGTAACTGCATTTCAATCTAATGACTCCACAAATGAGGACCCAATTGGGAAACACAGCAGCAAACCAGTTGGGAGTGGTCTTATGGGTTTGGAAATGAAAAAGAAGGCTGAAACTGAACTACCCTCTGGAAGAAGACTTAATAGGACCTACTGACTACAGGGGTCTGGGACACAAAGAAGCAAGCGTGGCAGGACAGCTGGGAGTTCATGGCGCCACCAAAGGAGGAAACTAGAAAATTAGACAACTCAAGGGATGATGATGAGTTTGGATTGTAATATCAGCATGTTTCTGGTGACAGAGAAATCTACCTGATGAGATTCTGGAGAAGGCTAGAAATGCTGATTTGGGGGTCAGTGCTGAAATGGTCATTGATACTAGTGTAATGAGAATAAATGAGTCACCCAAAGGGGAAAAAAGTGAACAGTGAGAAAACCATGACGTTAAGGGCCAAACATGGAAAGATACTTAGGAAACCTAAAATAAAGAAAAAGATGGATAAAAGAGGCACAGGACCCACAGATGGCCCTAGAAGGGTCTGACAGGTTGCCTGCCCACTTTCTGATTTGTATCACTATCGCTTTCTGGACTGAGCATTGAGTTCATTAAAAGTGAAACTGTCTAAAGGAATCTGGGTTACTCTGAATCTTTGGGTGATGAGAGGCTGCAAACCTGTTCCAATGGCAGGAAGGGCAACAGATGTGTATTTCCTCTGTTCACACTCTTCTAGAACACTGGAAAGTGATTTCCTGACATCATTTTCTCCAAGGACATGAATTATTATATTGCACGATAGGAATCCACCTTGTGTAACTATAAAATCTCTGTGAGGCTGTGTAGCTGGAAAAAAAAAAAAGGAAACACACACAGCACATTAGTTACGGGAAGCAACACTGATTTTTGAGAAATGAAAATAGCTGACAAAGGGAAAAGCCCTGAAGATTCCTGACCAAGTATAACCTCCCTCGATCTAGCTGGTTTCACTCTTTGGGACTGTGACAGGCTCATTCCCTTTACAATCCAGGTTATTCATTATTGAATAGTTTGGGTGTTCTTCAAAAGCACTCCACCTGTGTTAATTCACTCAATCCTCAAAGCAAGCCTATGACGTAGGTTCTGTTTTCTCCATTTCACAGATTAACAGATGGTTAAGGTCAGCAGCCGAAGACTGCCCAGGATTTGAACCCAAGCAGTTAGTATCCAGAGCTCTCAGCACCCACTCTACTGTCCAGGAGAGTAATTTATACCTCGTTCAGCCAGATTCATTTTTCAAGGAGGTGAAAGTAATACACTGTGTGGTGTGGAGGTGTGAAAGCATGAAAACTTCCCCTCCCACAGAACCCATAGAGCTCTTGAGCACATGGAAATTATCAGGGCTTGTTTTAAGGCACCACCTTCTGGTACTCTGAGCAAAGCAAGGCTCCAGGAAAATGCAGGAGGAGGAGAACTGGTGCCTGCCCATCCCACCCCGCCCTCCTGGTGAGCTTCCATCGCACATGCACTCCCTGCTGCCCTCAGGTGTCCACCTGCTGTCCTCTCCCAGGTATCATCCTTAGACTATTCCAGCTGTCAGCCCAGCTTCATGCTCTGCTTCTGCCTTCCAAGGTACAGCTAGCTCTTGCAGCACACAAATAAATCCCTGCTGATGTCCTCATGTTGGGACCAATGTTACCATCCTCTGATCTCTCTCCAGGAATTTATTCATTCCAGAGAAAATGTCTTAACCAGAGGAGAGTTATTAAGGTGGGAGTTTCAGGCACAACAATAGGTCAGTTGTGGAAATGTGTTGTCAAACATGTGACTTCTCCAAATCACACTCAGAGCTGACTGTCTACACTGCAAGGTTCAGTCCTGGTTTTGAAGGATGAATAGTTTATGCTCACTCTTACTGGTTCTTCACCATGCTATAATAAAAAATAAATATTTCATCCCTGGCTCCTGGTTCAGAGTTCCTGGAACCCTTCAAATCCCCTGAGTGATAAGAGTATGTTTTATACATTAATGAGATGACTCCTGGAGGCTGGGGAGTGGAACTAGATAGCTCCCGAAAGACCAAGCCATCTTTCTAGGATTGGAACTCTCAGCCCCACCCCCTGACCTCTAGGGACTGGAGAGGGGCTAGAGATTGAGCTCAGTCACAAATCCGATGGTTTAATCAACCATGCCCACGTAATGACAACTCCATAAAAACCCTTAGGCAACATAGTTCAGGAGCTTCCCGGTTGTCAAGCACCTCTAGGTGCAGGTAGGGTGGTGCACCTGGAAAGGGCATGGAAGCTCTGTGCCCTTTTCCCCATACCCTGTCCTGTGCTGGCATAAAATTGTAGGTGCACTCCTGCCTGGGGTGCCACACCAGCTAACTGAACTTTCAAACCAAACCCTCCTTTTCCTGTAAATGCTCCATTTGGCCAGAAACGTAGTATATCCAGTCAGCCAATCCCCAAACACCAACTCTGAATCAACTCTAAGCACTATATTTATTTCCTTGTTCCCAGAGCTTTCTAACTAAAGTCCAATATACAACCCCAGCCAATCACACAGTGTTTCCATGGTCCCACTTCCAATCCTCCAAAAAACTCGCTCTTGCCACAGTCCCTCAGGAAGAGCGCTCCACACTTGTAAGGCACTGCACTCCCCTCCATGGGTTGTTTTCTTAAATACAGGACCTCACACTCATTATTAAAATGTTTTAGTTTTGTCATTTGACACATTTCTTTCACTTGGCTATTCCTTTATAATAAACTAGGAAAGGTAAAAAACAAACAAACATGTTTTTACAGAGTTCTATGAATTATTCTAGTAAATTGTTGGACCTGAGAAGGAGTTATCTGGAACCTCTAAATTTATAGCCGTCAGAAGTACAGGTGGCCCCTGGGACTTAAAACTGGCATTTGAAGGTGGGGCCAATCGTGTGGAAGTAAGATGTTTAACTTATGGGATCTGGTACCAGTTCAGGGAGGTAATGTCAGAAGTGGAGAATTGGTTGGTGTCAGAAAACCCCTCAGACCCACACAGGCTCCCTTATTTATTCATAAAAGGAGTAAAATTCAGGTAATGCTGTGCGATGTGAAGTAGAACAAGACTGGGGAAAGTAAAAGGTCATTTATACAGCACTTTACAGCTTACAAAACTTTTTTTACATTCATTTTTCCTTCTCATCCTCACAACCACATGTGGGACAGCCATTATCATACTCCTCGTCAGTAGAACCGTCTTATGGGTGAAAGAACAAAAGCAAAGCTCGAGGAGGATCCCTGAGTATAAGGTGGAGCCTGGATTATTAGGACCCAGGACCCTGGGATCTTTTTAATTTTTAGGAAGAGACAGGTTGGATGGCAGGATAAGGAACTCTTCGCCACAGCCACCACGTCATATGCCACCTAAGTCTCCTCACCCAGGGAACCCACCTTCTGCCAAAGTGCTCACCACTTACTCCACCCATAGATCCTCTCACAGTAGTCTCAGCCCTTTAATTTTCAATAGGTTGTAAGCAAAAGCAACATGAGATCATACCTAGTACAGCACATTCATCTTCCACAGCTGGTCCGGCACTTTCTAAAATTGCTTTTGACACCCCTACAGAAGACATATTAATGATATAAAGCATCTGTTAAAATTCAATAAGTAGTAATAGCTTTTGTACATTAGACTTTTATTCAGCTCACCCTTTGCATAATGCATTGACGTCCCCCTCCTTAGAAAATCACCTTTCTATAGCTGCCTTCATTCAATGGCAGATGAATAAACAATCTGATCCACAGGATGAGGGCACTGCCCAATAGCTGAAAGTCTCCAGTGTCTGCAGCTTTACTGGGATATTTCTGCAGTTATTTAAGTTTTCTTTTTTTTTGCATTCTATGCTTACTATTTCACAAAATTGAATAAAAATATAAAAATACAAGTTCTGATATGAATGAAAAGCATGGATCTCAAAACTACAATAACCCTGAGCAATTTACTGAAGTTCTTTGATTTTGTTATTTAATTTTGTTTGGCTGGGTTTTTCACAATTAAACAAAGAGTTGGATGG